CACACGCACACACATTGCACGTGAGAAGAAAGAGAGGGTATCCTAGCATTCGAACACGGTAACACACACAGCAACAGCCGAACCAGACGCTTTTAACCATTAAGCCACTTTGTCGTAGCCAAGTGGTTAATTTTTTTTATTTTTATTATTATTTTTTATAATTTTTTTTATAATTCTTTAAAAATCAAGGGGTAGAAATTGTTATTGTGGTCACGAACTGTTTGAACAGTTAAAATTTTTACTTTAATTATTATTTTAATTATTAAATTATTAAAATTAAAACTAGTCACCTCCAACATTATTGGTTGCGTCAGCGTCAACTATGACGTCATCATCATCATCATCGTCGTTGTCGCCATCATCGTCATCATAGACGCTTGCCTGTTTAGTATTACCACAAAATTATGAATTATTCATTAATTTAATTATGTATTAAATATTATCACAAAAATATAAATTAATTATTATATATATATATATATATATGTGTGTGTGTGTGTGTTGTGTGTGTGGTGTGGTGTATGTGTGGCTTGTGGTGTGAATTGGATGGGTGATGTGTGTGTGTCTGTGTGGTGTGTATGTGGTGTGTATGTGGGGCGTGTGTGTGTGTGTGTGTGTGTGTGTGGCGTGTATGTAGTTTGCATGTTGCTCGTTATGTGTGTGTATGTTGTGTGGGTGTGTGTGTGTGTGTGGCGTGTATGTAGTTTGTATGTTGCCCGTTATGTGTGTGTATGTTGTGTGTGTGTGTGTGTGCTAGCTTTGATGTTAATATAATTCCAACATATCCAACCTCAGCTTGTTGTGATATTGTTGTTGGCGTTGTTGCTGATGTTGGCAGTGGAGATTCCATGTACAACAACATCTGCTGCGGAACTAATTCAACATTTGTGACGTCATGTTGTTGTTGTTGTTGTTGTTGTTGCGGTTGGGTTAGAATAAATTGGTGCTGTTGATGTTGTTGTTCGGCTGGTATTATGAAGGTACGCAGCAGAGTGTTGTCTGATTGTTGTTGGTGATGACGACGATGATGACGTTGACGTTGTTGCTGTTGTTGTTGTTGTTGATGATGATGCTGTCGTTGTTGAGCCAAGTTATGATAATAGTCCAATAGTTGCTGTTGTTGTAGGTAGTCGTAATCATGGTAGTGGTGATGATGATTGAGTGGGATTGGGTCGTCTCCATCAACCGGCTGTAAGATGACGAAACTCGGCGATTGTTGTTGTTGCTGGTCTATATGTTGTTGTTGTTGTTGCAGTATTAGATGCTGTTGTGGCTGATGCTGTTGTGGCTGCTGTTGTGGCTGCTGTTGTAGTTGTTGTTGTCGCTGCTGTTCTTGAAACTGCCTGTAGGTCATTGTGGAGATCCTCAAAGAGTTATTGGAGGAATTAGGATGAGGCGGACCTCGAAGACTTGAAGAAATTTGTTGTTGATGATTTTGTTGTAGATGTTGCTGTTGATGTTGTTGTTGATGTTGTTGTAGATGTTGTTGTAGATGTTGCTGATGATGTAGTAGTTGTTGTTGCCCAGAGTCAGTTGCTAAATAATTGCCATTTAAATCAACGAAATAGGTTACTGTTGGCGTTGCTGCTGCTGTGGCTGTGGTGGTTGCAGCTGCAGCTGCTGCAGCTGCTGCTGAATTAGATTCCAGTTCTAATAATGGAGATATAAATAAATTTTGAAGCTGCCGATGTTGCGGTTGTTGTTGTGACTGTTGTGGCTGTTGTAGTAGCAGTTGTAGTTGTTGTGGTTGTTGTAGTAACTGTTGTGGCTGTTGTTGTAGCTGTTGTAGATGCGATAACGAACCCCGGCTAGCAACAGACTTTCGGGCATAAAATTCAGCAATTCTTGCTTCTCTTGTCGAATTACTATTAGAAGCAGCTGCAGCCACTGCAGCAGCTGCAGTAGCAGCAACGGGAGTAGCTGCAGTAGTAGTAGCAGTAGTTTTTTTTGTTGTTGATGACTTTTTATCAGTTTTAATTTTGAAAAAAGGCATATTTACAAGATGAAATATTTAGTAACAATGTTACACTCCTAAAATTATTGGTAAATTAAAAATACCAACATGTGTATGTACTATCAATATATAGTGGTAGTAGTAGTAGTAGTAGTAGTAGAAGTAGTAGTAGTAGTAGTAGTAGTAGTAGTAGTAGTAGTAGTAGTAGTAGTAGTAGTAGTAGTAGTAGTAGTAGTAGTAGTAGTAGTAGTAGTAGTAGTAGTAGTAGTAGTGGTAGTAGTGGTAGTAGTAGTTGTAGTAGTAGTAGTAGTAGTGGTAGTAGTGGTAGTAGTGGTAGTAGTGGTAGTAGTAGTTGTAGTAGTAGTAGTAGTAGTAGTAGTAGTGGTAGTAGTGGTAGTAGTAGTTGTAGTAGTAGTAGTAGTAGTAGTAGTAGTGGTAGTAGTGGTAGTAGTAGTTGTAGTAGTAGTAGTAGTAGTAGTAGTAGTGGTAGTAGTGGTAGTAGTAGTGGTAGTAGTAGTAGTAGTAGTAGTAGTAGTGGTAGTAGTAGTAGTAGTAGTAGTAGTAGTAGTAGTAGTGGTAGTAGTGGTAGTAGTAGTGGTAGTAGTGGTAGTAGTAGTAGTAGTAATTATATCACCCTACAATTACTATTTACGTAAAAGTCCTATTTATATTATTGTTAATAATTATTATAGTCTAAATATTATTTATTATTACGATATAATAATATTAGTTATTACATTATGGATAATAAATATCAAAACTCTTCGGTCTATTACAAAAACGCCTTTATGTTTTTAAAGTCAGGTTTGTCACGAGTTTTCTCTTTCTCATTCTCTCTCTCTCTCTCTCTCTCTCTCTCTCTCTCTCTCTCTCTCTCTCTCTCTTTCATTCTCTCCAACTGTCTCTTTTTTTTATTTAATTCTTTTTTCGATATATGTATGTATGTTTGTGTGTGTGTATGCATGTGTGTGTGTGTGTGTTGTGTGTGTATGTGTGTGTGTGTTGTGTGTGTGTGTGTGTGTATGACAAATTATTTTGGACAATGGACAGCTTACATTCACCTCCATACAATACATAGGTAACGAGTTAATAGCGCCTATATATATGTTGATTAACTATTTCTTATTGATTATTCATTTTATTTATATTCATTCATTCATTTGTTGTTCGTTTGTTCATTCCTTCAATTCATCCATTGTTTGTTCATTCCTTCAATTCATTACTTCAATTCATTCTTTCAATTCATTCTTTCAATTCATTCTTTCAATTCATTCCTTCAATTCATTCTTTCAATTCATTCCTTCAATTCATTCCTTCAATTCATTCCTTCAATTCATTCCTTCAATTCATTCCTTCAATTCATTCATTGTTTGTTCATTCATTCCCATTCGATCATGATCATTAACGTCGTCTTCATCATTGTATTCTTATATTTAGGATGATCATTGATGAATATTATAAGCATTTATTATATATATATTTATATAGGCATATATATGTGTGATATACATAGCTGTGTGTATATATTTATGGATTTGATTTTAGTTTTTGAGTTGCAGTAAAAGAAGTTTCCATTATTAATTTATGTGGCATCCTATGCATAGCTTCAGGAATGTTTAAAATGACTTCTGAAGTTTCCATAGGTCTGGATAAACAAACAAAAAGTTCTTTTATAGTTTCCTAAAATGTTTGATGGATGGCTGTTGACGAATGATGGCGGGCAAACCATTCCATGCGGGAGGAGAGCTGTATGGGAAATGTTTGTTGATGACGACCGATGAATTGCTGATAGGTTGATGCAACCGAGTGCATGAAGACGAACGAAGTTGACGAGTTAATGAACGAGACTATATAAGTTGATGGAGGTATGACAGTTGAGATGTATCATTAAGCAACTTGTACGTGAGGATGGCGAGTTTAAATCCAATCCGTTGACATACTGGCAACCAATG